ACTTCTGCAAAGCCAGAGCATCAATTGCCAGATGAAATTGAGCCATCAACAGAGCCAACACGAAAAGTCTGCGATAACGACCCACGTGTTACTTATGAAGGAGGAAAGTACATGGCTGAGTAGGCGTTTCATTTTCGTGCACGTCATCTCAGACACATAAATGTTGGTTTAATGCTTTGTGAAGAAACTGGGTTAGTCAGCAGCGTCAAATTGCATTTTATGTTTATCGTTAGGATTGCCACGATACTTTGCGTTTTTGCTCGTCTGCGAACGATTTAAGTGAGGTCAGGATTGTATTACAGAGCACGGGGCCTCCATCCTGATTACTCAAATTTGCTGTGCAAATAAGAACAAAAGAGAAAAATGAAATTTTTTCTCTTTAGAGGGTGCACGCGGGTACACTATTTTCAAGATAATTATCTCAATTTAATATTTAGATATACCAAAAAGTTTAGAGTTGTACACCTACCTAAGAGAACTGGTCCTCAACATACCTTGTTGATGGGTCGACATACCGTTGCATTCTTATGTGTAGATATATCATAATTTGCGAAGAACTAGAATTTCTCCGGGTTGTACTTGAGGTGGTACGAAACTTTCCGGACTTCTTCTTTTCTTACCGTTTACTCGTGTTGCTAATAAGAGAGTGCAGTCTACCAATACGCCCTGTGTTTATACGGAGCGTCGAGCTGTAAATTCCAGCAAATTTTTGCAATCTAGGGACCAGTTCTCGTCATAAATGTCTCTGCTCCATTTTGCTTTTATAATCTCGCTCATGTCTGCTGTCATGCTAGAAGTGATTGTATGTGATCAGTGACATCCGACACCTTTCAAAAGCAACTGGATAGGCTAGACAGCTGATATGAATGTTTTGTAGCTTTTTTTTTGTAGATCACAATCTTGTCAGCTGATGAAAGTGTGTCTTGTTGTCATGCAAGCGTTTTTCTAGCTTTTCACCTGCAAGATTGTTCAAAACGATGTTGCATCTGTTGCAACAAAAATTGACTTCAGTGATTTGCTCCCGTCAGGGGATTCATTGAGTTACTTGTAGCAGAAAAGTGATTTTTAGGATTTATATTCCTACGGCATTTCATGGGAAACTTGTGGGTTTACGAGGGACTATGCGTCGGGAGATAGAAGAATCCACTGAATGCCGCCTTACCATACCGCGCAAAGGCCAAAAAGGAAACGTTGGTGAGATTTTGTTTTGTTAGGACCAAACTCATCCAATGAGAATCTTCTGCTTCAGAGATCAAGTCATTTGTTGGTCTTGAGAATGTGCAACGTTGCCTAGACCGTATCGAGCTGTTGATAGCTGAGGCTAGAAGAACGGTAGAATTATATTTGCTCTGCTTCACCCTTGTAATTCACCTCGTCACCTTAAGATTATGCCCGAATTTTTTCGTCGCCCACTCTTGTAACTTCGCTTGATTTACTTTTGAGGTTTTTTGAACAATCTCTCATTAAACAGAAAATTATTTATTTAGGAAAATAGCATACCTTGACTTCAATAAGAAACTGATGCAAATCTAGTTTCAGGCTCCACTTACACATTTTATCGCTATCCCTTGCAACTCTGCTGAGGTTATCCAAGCATTCGAGATGTTCAAAGAAGCCGTGATAGCCAATGAACGTGTACCAGTGAGTGCGGTAAAGCATTGTTATAAACCCCTGAAATTTTGGTCGCCGTGTCACGTCTAACTTACTGGGTCAGAACACATGCTATTTTTTGGGCTGCCTCTCTGAAAAGAATTATTTTGAGACGAATCTGATCCTTTATATGTGATGAAGAAAACCCT